GAAAGTGTGATGTCGATCTTGGGATTGAAGTTATAGATCTCATCACAGAGCTTGGATATGTTTTCAGTTAGGGTTTTCACCTCACTTGATTTCAGATCGTTGGTCCCAACGTGGATAATAATATGGGCAGGTTGTGAACGCAAGGATGGTTTAATGTAATCTACCATATCCTTAACCATTGCCCCAGGAAAAGTAGGGATAATTACATTTTTACTGGTTGACTTTCTTATGTTCCTCGTATTGATTCATCTTGTCAAAGAGTCTCCTAGGATAATTGTGAGATCTTCTCCAGCATGCTTTTTAGGACGGTGGTGGTGTTGTTTGGGTAGTGAAGTGTCATTGTAAGGCCGCTGTTGATGATCTTGTTTCTGCTGAGGTGACTGTTGCTGATCATGGTGTGGCTGATGTGATTGTTGCTGCAGCTGATGCGTATCGTTGTTGTTGCTAATGTATTGCTGTTCGGCCTCTTCCCACTGGGGTCTGGGTTGATGATGAAACGTATTACTATATGCATGGTTCCTCTCAGTGATTTCTTGATTAATTTGAGGCTGGACAGGGGGGGCCTACATATTGGCTTTGTGGGGGATGATGGGTGTTGTCATGTAAGTGAGCCACCAGATGTTGTCGCTGATATATATGTTACGGTAGCAGTTGATGTTTCTGTTGTGGTTTTGGCTGGTATGATTGTTGCTGTGACTGATGTGTCTCGTTATAGGAATTTTGGTGATGACGTTGTTGTTGTTCCGTCTGATATATGAGTCGTTGGTCAAGCGTGTTATCATATGCATAGTTCCACTCGGTGCTTCTTTGATCGGTTTGATTAATATGAGCTGAGGGAGCAACATGTTGGCTTTGTTGGCTCTGCGGGGGATGGTTAATATTGGCATGTAAATTAGGCTCTGATAATGAGGAAAGTTTTGATTTTCTACTTGTAGTACTCTGATTACTGTTAGTAAGCTACTGCGTTCATTGTTAAGCTCCTTCAGCTTCGTATCCAAGTCGGATATCAAACATGATTGTTTTTTTATTTTTTCATTCAAATGTGAGACCTCTTCCTTGAGTGATATATTTTCATTTAAAGTACGAGAAGATCTAATTTCAAATGATAATTCAGTGATCGATCTAAGTTCACGCATATCACCCGACATAATATCAAATAATTTCTCCATTCTAGCCTCCAGCCGACAAACATACTTCAACAGATCTGCATTTGAACTATTGGCAGTGTCGGTTTGGGGCATCGTTTGCGAACAATTTTCGGTCATTATTTCTTGATTCTTGTGTAGAGTTTGCGGCTCCATATTAGGCGTTTGTGAATGGTCAATTATATAATTTACTTCGTCAGTATGGCTGACGTGTTTATTATTTTTCTGTTTGATTGTCCCGGTCAATATACCCTCGTCGAAAGTAAAAATATCTTGAGACTGCTCGCTTATAGAGACATCGTACATATTTTGTGACTCTTCCGATTTTTCTGGCTCACACGAGTTATCATCGGCGATAATATTTGTCTCTGAATTCGGATGCATGGTCGAGAGCTTTTTGATCAAAATGTTTGTAAATGACTACCTTTCTCGCCTTGAATTAAGAGAGAGGCAGAGTTGGTGTAATACCTGATTATAATTGATCCTGTGGTCTCATTAAATAACTTTAAGTTGCCTCCGGGTGACGACCATTTCCCGTTTAGTTTTAGAGTTTTCTTGACAAAGACTTTAAGAGCTTCATAGCTCTCCTTCCATTTTACCTTTCTATTCTCATCAATAATGATATCTTTACCATTACTGTCGTCGATTTGTAGTGTTTTCAGATTACTTAGGCAATCATTTGTTGAATAACAAGTGCTTGCATCGGTACTCGCATCAGACATGTTGACCGCCATACACATATTAAATACACAATATACAATAATAAAAAATACACATATTTTCATATAAAATGGGAAAAGGTTGGATATTTTGGATGAAATCTAAAACCGACGATGCATGTGTTATATAACTAACTATCCTCGAATTTCCTATTGCTCTTTAAAATTAATATATTTTAATGTCAAATTTAGTGGTATATTTTAACACAACATGAGACAAAACTCTCAAATTGAAAAACGGTTTTCTTCTCATTATTAAATTGATTACAGCACACGAAACTGAACGAAACTGACCGCTCGCGTATATCTTAACATATACGATACGCGTATGATACGCGTATACGCGTATCATACGAATACGCGTATCATAGAATACGCGTATCATAGAATACGCGTATCATACGAATACGCGTATCATACGAACGCGCGTATCATACGACTACGCATTAAAAACAAATATTAGGGCGCTATAAAAGACGTGTTTTATAGCGCCCTGCAATTACGCATAACATATACGCGCTACTATAATTCAATGATCTGGTTTCTTGCACTTCACTTGGTGGTATTAATATTTGAATGCTGTTCTTAGGGTTTGTAATCCAAGTGAGTATACATTTTAATCCAAGTGAGTATACATAGATATACATTTTAAGACCTGACCAGGAACGACTGCGAAAAATGCAGCACAAGGTCCTCTGGTAGGAATTGAACCTACGGCCCTGCGATTCCGGTGCAGCGCCCTAACCTACTGAGCTACAGAGGCCAGCTGTTGAGCTGTAACCGTAAGTTCATGCATATATAGGTGATCGGGTGTGCGGGTTGTGATGAGGTGGACTTCAAAGATCTGGTTTCTTGCACTTCACTTGGTGGTATTAATATTTAAATGCTGTTCTTAGGGTTTGTAATCCAAGTGAGTATATATATATATACATTTTAAGACCTGACCAGGAACAACTGCGAAAAATGCAGCACAAGGTCCTCTGGTAGGAATTGAAAGCGCTCTAACCAACTGAGCTACAGAGGCCAGCTGTTGAGCTGTAACCGTAAGTTCATGTATATATAGGTGATCGGGTGTGCGGGTTGTGATGAGGTGGACTTCAATGATCTGGTTTCTTGCACTTCACTTGGTGGTATTAATATTTGAATGCTGTTCTTAGGGTTTGTAATCCAAGTGAGTATATATGTACATTTTAAGACCTGACCAGGAACGACTGCGAAAAATGCAGCACAAGGTCCTCTGGTAGGAATTGAACCTACGGCCCTGCGATTCCGGTGCAGCGCTCTAACCAACTGAGCTACAGAGGCCAGCTGTTGAGCTGTAACCGTAAGTTCATGTATATATAGGTGATCGGGTGTGTGGGTTGTGATAAGGTGGACTTCAATGATCTAATTTCTTGCACTGCACTTGGTGGAATTAATATTTGAATGCTGTTCTTAGGGTTTGTAATCCAAGTGAGTATATATATATACATTTTAAGACCTGACCAGGAACGACTGCGAAAAATGCAGCACAAGGTCCTCTGGTAGGAATTGAACCTACGGCCCTGCGATTCCGGTGCAGCGCTCTAACCAACTGAGCTACAGAGGCCAGCTGTTGAGCTGTAACCGTAAGTTCATGTATATATATGTGATCGAGTGTGCGGGTTGTGATGAGGTGGACTTCAATGATCTGGTTTCTTGCACTTCACTTGGTGGTATTAATATTTGAATGCTGTTCTTAGGGTTTGTAATCCAAGTGAGTATATATATACATATTATACTGTACATACACGTATATTGGGAGTTCTAAACTGAGCTACAATACAATATTCAATTAGCATCAACCTACTGTATAGTTGGATTTTAGGTGCTGATAATAGTAATAATTGTTGATTAAATAACTTGGGCCACCGCCTGTTTTATGAACATTACTCAGTTCAGACTGTTTGTAGATACGGAGACAACGCTGTTACAATTTTGCGAGGACCGATATTCTATAGACTATCTAATTAAAACATCGTGCATGCATGGTGTCTTAAGGTCCAGACACACCGGACGCGATTGGACAATTTAGTTTTTGAAAGTTAATAAAACAGCCAATGAAAGCAAATTTTAAAAGATTTGTAGACCAAATAACTCAAAATGTTATAGCGCTTCTAAATATTTGGAAAATTTAAACTAGGATCAAAGTGATCGTTCAATGAAAATCGAAAAATCGCGTCGCGTTGTTGAATCGCGTCCGGTGTGTATGGACCTTTAAGCGGCAGCGTAATCGGCTAGATAGATAGATAGATAGATAGATAGATAGATAGATAGATAGATAGATTTTTTTTTTTTTTTGAAATTTTTATTTAACCACGGTGGTTTTATCAATTGTAGATATGACATATTTACATTTGTTCTTCCTAAAAGCCGTGTATCTTAATATTTCAATATAAAACTATATACAGAAAACATATTCTAGTTGGCACAGAATATAGTCGAGTCTAACATTTTTACAAATATTTTAAGTGATGGTGCGTCTTTTATCTCATCCGGAAGAGAATTCCATAATTTAGCACCAGTGAAGGCAAAACTTGAATTGTAATACAGTGTTCGATTTTTTGGAAGTTCGAAGGTTATTTTAGACCTTCTGAGATTATATATATCCAAAGCATGACAATGTTGAAATATGTCTATTAAATAATATGGTGCATTACCATTTACTATTCTATACATCATCATAGCCTTTTGTTTATACCTCATTTCCTGAATATTCATCCAGCCAAGTTCTTTTAAGAGTTTTGAGGATGATGTTGAGAAATGTGCCCCAGTTATCACACGGGCAGCCCTATTTTGTAAAATTTGTAGAGACCTGTCTAATGTTTGACCAAGGCTGTCCCAAACTATGGAGCAATAAATGAAATATGGTTCAATTATCGCCCGATAGAGTGATACTAGGTTTTTTTGTGTTAAAACGGGCTTTAATCGCCTCAAAGTAGCAATATTACGGGATACTTTTAAGCGAATACTCTCCACATGGTTTTCCCAAGTTAAGTTTTCGTCTATGTTTACTCCTAAGGATTTCACCGAACGAACTTGGCTTAATGAAACACCGTTTACTGACAATGTTATTGAATCTCCCAAGGCCGCTAGCTTTTGTCGAGAAGCAATAACCATGAAATCGGTTTTTAAAATATTCAGTGTCAACTTGTTTGCACAAAGCCACTTGAATATTTTATTAAGCTCAATCTGCATTTTATTTTCGACCGATTCCAAATTGCAACCTGTGGAAGTGATATTTGTATCGTCAGCAAATAGCCTGGCAATTCCATGTTCCAAACAACTGGATAGGTCATTTATATAAAGCAGAAATAAGACCGGACCCAAAATGGAACCTTGTGGAACCCCGCAGGAAATGGTTTCTTCATTTGAAATATACAGGCGCGGATCCAGCCTAAACCCTGACCGTGGCGCACTCCAAAACCGTCAATAATTAGGGGGGTCCGGGGGCATCCCCCCCCCCGGAAAATTTTTGAAATTTGAACCCCGGAAATGCCATTTCCTGAGTTCTGAGCATCGAATTCTATCATAAAATTCGTCATTAATTACGCCATATTTTAGAGAGCAAATAACGAAACGCACTAAATAAGTCAAATATTTAAACAACATACCATGTTCTTCAACGTTACAACATTAGAATGTTACAAAATCACTGTACTTACATAAAACCACAACTCTGTACCGCATGTTCCTGTGTATTTCAGGTTCTTCGTAGCAAAAAATATCCAATTAGGGCTGTACATCGAACTCAATCATCTTGGCGTTTCAGTTGCAACGCAGGTCTTTTACGGGGTGGGTTTTTTCAGCTGCACATGCATCGATACCAAGTGTCTTATTCTCGATCATTCGCTTAAACTGTGTAGCACGGAACGTTGCCGTTGCGTGAACATTGGATTTTTCACCATGCTGACATAGTTTCTGGACAGCAGAAGCACTTGGAGGAAGAGCACTGGTCATCAATAGTTGGAGCTCGCTTGCATTATGCGTGCTTTCACTGCCAAAAAGAACACAAGTGACGCAAAAACCACCGTTTGCCACAGCAGAGTAAGCCAACCATGGAAATCGTGATAACCATGCCAACCGGAAACGTCTACCAATATTTTCGCGTGGAGGAAAAGAAAAATCAGAACCAGGTTTCCAATGGCAATGATTGCACAGAATTTCGTACTTTTTCGAATCAGGAAGACTGGACACCAGATTTACGTAGTTGTAGATATCATCTGGCCACGAATTGGTGGAAGTTCGTTGTGTTTTGGTGTTAGATTTTTCTGAAGTAGGACCAGTGTTGGAAGTTACAGATGAAATTCCTTTACTAGTGCTGGGAAATTTGATTTACTGTCTACAGTTTCTTGTGTGTTGCACGCTCGTTTCACAAGAAGCGCACCGATCTAAGCTAATTTGTTTTCTTTTTGGACCAG